AAAACGACCGCTGCCGCGCCGCCACCGCCACAGCGGCAGCGGCGCGGTGGCGGTAACGGCAGCGGTCGCGCCGCGATGGACATCTCTGGTATAAAGAGTCAAAATTATGAACGCGAAATAAATTTTTTGATTTCTTACATCATCTATTTTAATAACCTAAATCAGTTTTCGACAGATAAATTAACCAATTTGAATTTTTGTTATTGTTTTGATGAAATTCAGCTTTTTCTATACTCTTCAGTTTTACACTTGACAAAAAAAAATTTTGTAACTATCATTATTTTCATCTAGACAATGAACGATCTGAACTATAAGTTGATTTGTGATTCTAGACAGTGATACTTTTAGTTGTTTTACAAATTTCTATTACCTATCTTCTGGTTTTCCATAAAGCATTTGTCCAATAACAGCAATAACATAAATAAATAAAAAAACAAGTATAACAACAGTAAATGTATATGTTAATACAGTTTTAATTAAAGCTTTTGTTAATACTTGTAAACCTTCGAATAATTTAATTATTCTATATAAACGTATTAATTGTAATAAACGAAAACCTTTTAATAAATTTTTTATAGTTGAATTCTTTTTATAAAAAAATAAATTCCAAATAATTTCTATAACACCAAAAAATATAATACTAAAATCATAAATATTTGTCCAATTAAACCAATAATAAATTGATTCTAAATATATTTTAAAAATAAATTCAAGAAAAAGTATTGCAATTAATATTTCATCAAATGCATAAATAAATTTTTGTCGAGAAGAATTTTTTATATAAATTTCATCAGTTTCTAAACTTAAACCAAGTGTTATAGAACTTGATATAATAATAAAAGCCATAAAATAGTCATATATTGGATGATGAAAAATTAAACGAAGATAATCTTTAATAGTTTTTTTATGATGTATTATATTATAATAAATATGTTGTTCATTGTCTAAAGATATTGAAATATTATCATCATTTTCATCATTGTTATAATCAAAATCAAGATAATCATCGATAAGTAATTCTTTCAAACTACGATGCATCTTTTCCTCTTCTAGTTAATTATGATAATCTGCGCCATTCTATTTAATTCCTAAGAGAAATCAATCATTTCATTATAATCTTGTAGCTTAGCCTTATCATAAAGAATTGATTGTGTAAACCGATTTTTTGATGAATATTAATAAACAGAAAAAAAAACAAAAATCTAGTTTTCTATCTAATTCAATCTTCTTTCGAAAATTTCGATATATGAATCGAACTAGAACAGTTCGACAGTTTTTTATAATTATCAATGAGAACAAACATTTTTCTATATTCACAAATTAGATTTTAAATAAAACATTTATTTTATTATAAAGAATAGCATAAAACGAAATTTATTATAAATAAATTTTGATCTACAGTATTGACTAAAAAATATAGAATTACTTTTTTTTTAATTTTTTTCTATAATGTTAACCCAGGTGATTCTCGCTCGGTCGGATCCCGTCGGATTCAAATAATTGCGTCTGTATCCTGTCGGATTTTTGTCGGAATCCCATGGACCGGATTCCGTCTGTCGGATCTGATCGGACACGTGCAAAATCCGATAGGATTCTGTCGGATTTCATCAGTTTTTATCGGATTCCGACGAAATCCTGACCGGAATCCTGTGCAAGGATTGCTTGTCTTGGGAAACAGTTAGCTCAGATTCAAATAGTGATTCTGAAGTTTTCTATTGAGTGTATTTTATGGCACAGTCATGATGAAAAGATTTCCAGAACAACTAAAAATCATATTTTTCACATCCGAGAAGACGTTGCTGAAATATTTTTTTCGACAATGCCATCTTAACGAGACCTACCACTAAAACGTTACAAACATCATAGAAAACAAAAAAAGTGATTTTTTTTGTTTTCTGTAATGCTTGTAACTTTTTAATGATAGATCGTAGAAAATTCGGCGACTCATCATTTTGTTCAGAATTTTGGGCTCTTTACGATGACATTGTCGAAAAACTATTGCAACAATGTCTTCTCGAATGTGAAAAATATGATTTTTAGTTGTTCTAGAAATCTTTCCATCATGACTCTGCCATAACCCAAGACAAGCAATCCTTGCACAGGATTCCGATCCGAATTTCGTCGGAATCCGATAAAAACTGACGAAATCCGACAGAATCCTATCGGATTTTGCACGTGTTCGATCAGATCCGACAGTCGGAATCCGGCCCATGGGATTCCGACAAGATACGGACGCAATTATTTGAATCCGACGGGGTCCGACCGAGCGAGAATCACCTGGGAAAATGCACTCAATAGAAAACTTCAGAATCACTATTTGAATTTGAACTAATTGTTTAACATTCTAGAAAAAAATCAAAAAATAAAGTGATTCTATATTTTTTTGATCAGTATTGTAATACATTTATTTCATATTGTCTGATGATTATTCATTTGTTTAACTTGTATTTGTTTATCAGATAATAATTGTAAAATAGCTGTCGATTTATTTGATGCATGTTCAGATTGAACTAATTGAAATTTTTGTCTTCGATAAATATAACCTTGTTTACTAAAATATAATGCAACAATATCACATACAAATGTTGATAAACCAAGTATACCAATCATTGATCCAATATGAAGTGTTAATACAAGAAAATCAAAACGACCAGCATTACCACTAACAGTAACAATTAATCGTAAACCAAATGCTTTTTTTAATATACGATATGAACTATTTTCAATATTCCAATGTGATGCATAACGAAAATTAAATCCAAATGAAAATTTTTCATCATGTGATCTTGAATCTAAACGACCAAATGAATATTCAGGTTTACATTGATCTTCACCTAAATCTAAATTACATTTCCAATCAATTTTAATACGTAGAACAGCACCATAAACTAACATTTTATAACGTTCATCATCATCAGTTTCAACTATATCTAATAAATCACCAACACGAAATATTGGACAAAATTTATCATATATTGGATGATAAAGACATTTTTGAAAATATTTTGATTCATTAAGAATATTTGTTCTTGATAGACGAAAACGTGTAAATTCAACAAAATTTTTTAATAATACTGTATAATTTAATGCATCCATTATTGGTTGAGGCATAACAAGATCATTTTCTACTGGACACCAACCTTCCATTTCACATCGACGTTCATATATATGACATTTTCCTGTCCAATGTCCATTACTTCTTGAAGGATATCGACGATTAACTTCACATTGTGAATCATTGCTACATATAGCATCTTTAACAACAATACCTTCTCCACAAAATGTTCGTTGTTGATCTGTACTAATAAAATTTGTCATTATAAAAAGAGCATTATTTTCTTGTGGTGGAATAATAAAATCTGCATCATCTAATGTTATTGTTGAATTTTCTTCAAATGTTCCAATACCTTTTACAGCCAATGCAACAGATGATATTAATGATGAATCATGATCTTGATAACCACGTCTATACCATAACATATAAACAAATGCATATATTAAAATAAGTAATTGAATAAAACGACATGTTAATGCAATTGAATATGAAGAAATAGTAACAATTTTTGGTGCTAATTAATATAAATATGCATAAGATGTTATGTTTAAATAAAAAAAAATATGAAACAAACTTACTTTCATATGTTGCTGCCATACTAATGACAACATCTTTAATATGAGTTGGACTAAATATATGAATGAAAACTGAACAATGTCGTTGAATTTTTCTAGAAATTGGTTCAGACATAATGAAAATACTTTTTTTTTTGGTTAATATTGTCGGATGAATAATAATATAAAATATTAATATTCTCTTGTTTTTTCTTTCTTTTTACTTATCATGAAAATAAGAAAGAATAACATTTGCTAATTCAGAAAACGAAATAATTAATACTTTATTTTTCTAAATGAAGAAACTCATTGATAGATATCAATTACATTTGTTTTTTTTTTTTTCTTACAACGAATAAGCTTCTGCCAAAATGAAGTTACTTTAATCAAGAAATTGAACATATACATCAATGAATAGATTATAAATTGTGAAAAGTAGTGAATATAACAAGAAAGAACTTTCTATAGGGTCGACTAATGGAATTAGTTCGTAAATAAATTCTATTTTGACTAATAGTATCACATTTTTTTTTGGGGATAATCAATGATGTGTGATCTCCTGCATTGATCAACATTTATTAATAATTGATTTATCATATCTGTTGCATATATAGAATGCAAAAGAAGTAACTAAGATCATATATTAAATAATAATTTATTTGATAGAATTTTCTTTTTTTCTAAGTCGAAAATAAAACAAACAATTTGTTCAATATAAGCATTTTTTTTTTCGGTATCAATCTTCTATTAATTAATTTTATTCAAATTTGTTCTTTATTTATAAAATCTTATGATTGAATCTTTTGTATAATTCGATTTTAAATGAAATAAATATTCTCTTCATAAAGAAATAAATGCATTCTACTTAATAATTTGATAAAATTGTACTATATAATCATTGAAAACTTCTCAATAATTCTTATGTATGCTTTTGTATAACAAAATTTTATTTGAAAAACTAGATGTTATAAAAATTTAACGTCTTCTATTCGTAGAAAAAAGAATGCTTGAACAAAAAAACATCGAAATGTTGAAGATCATTTTCACAGGAGTTAAAACAAAGAGAAGACGACTTGAATAATTGATCTAATTCGATCGATGACTTTGAAACTATACAGTGATCTAGAATTTAATTATAGGAGATTTATACTTATACAAGATTTTAAAGAAATTAAATATTTAAGTTCTTTCATAGTGAATGAATTTAACTGTATACTACTGCCATCTATATATCGAGCATATGATTGATTCTTGATATTGTCTATCAGACAAAGAAAGGCACCATCGTCGTCAAAAGAAAGGAAAGAAAAAAAAAACTTGTTTTGTTATCCGTATTCAACGTATTCATCTGTATGAAATTGATTAATATAAATAATTGATTAAAAGTTTAGATGTCGAAAAGTGAAGATTTAGAATTATTAAAAGTAATTGAATTACAAAATGAACTTAAAAAACGTGGTCTTGAGACAAAAGGACGCAAAGCAGATTTAATCACTCGTCTACGTCAAGCAATTAATGATGGTATTGAAGGTAACAATGATTATTTTGTTCTATCAATTCATATTATCTTTTCTCTTTAGCTACTGAAACAACAACAACAACAGGTAATCCAGATATAAGTGATGAAGAATCAGTTCCACCTGTAATCAAAGATGAAACATCATCTCCATCAAGTGTTCGTTTATTTATTTGTTTTGAATTTTGTTTCATTTTATATATTATTCAGGCTATTGAAGATGACGATGATGATGATGATGATGAACCAAAATCCGTATCCAATAATGATCAATTAGAAAATCCTCCTCCTATACAAGAAATAGAATCAATATTAAGTAAAAAACGTCGTCTTACTGATGATGAAGAAGGTGAACATAATGAAATAGAAAAATTAAAAGATGAAGATATTGAAAATGATGAATTAGCTAAACAACGACGTAAGAAAAAAAGTCGTTGGGGATCAGAACAAGATGAAGAAGAAGTCGAATCAACAGAAAAACAACATACTACAAAACGTACTTCCGATGATGATGATACTATTGATAATAGTAGTACAACAAGTAGTAGTAGACATCGAGATCGTGATCATCATCGATCATCAAGACATGATGATGATCGACATCATACTAATCGACATTCAGAAAGGTATGTCTTATATAATCATATTGAAATCATTAAATTATTTAACATTTTATAGATCAACTGAAAAAGAAATATCACTTCCAGAAGAAGAAATTGTACAATACAATCCTGATGATGTTGTTCTAGATTTTTGTAAGTTTTACATATTTAAATGTTTTTTTTCTTTTGTCGTCGAACAAATTCTAATTCGAAATAGTTTTTCAAAATAAAGAAATCTAAAATGAATTAATAAGATAAAACTCTTTTATCATTGAAAAAATAAAATGCGAAAACCTCGGATTTAAATCCGAGTGTTATGTGTACTTCAAAAAGTGAACAGGTATATTCACTTTGTTTTTTATCATCTGAGACATATCTAGGCAAATATGCTTTCTGGATGCAGTTTTTGTGCATTTTGAGACCTTTTTCAGGCGATGTTTTGTTCGAAAGCTACGATTTGGTTCAAAACTAATATCCGATTCGGAATCAGCGTTAAAAACTGAGTCGATTTATATATGTTGTGAATAATTCTGAGAAAATTTTTTTTTTTTTGAAAAAATCCCTGTACCCCCCCTCAGGGATGGTCTGGTCAATAATGACAATTTTTTCGATAACTCAGCCATTTCTTGATGGATCCTTCTCATCTTCGAACTCGACTGAGACTGAACTGTGTAGAAAATTTCATCACCCTCTGACTCTCCTTTCGAAAGTTATCGTGTAAACGGTCGATCGGGCCGGACGGACACACTGACCGATTCTATAGTGTACTCACTTTTTGAGTACACAAAAAAGAGAAAATACGTGATTAGTTACAACTTTCTGTTAATTAACAATATAATAAATAAAAATATGATTTCATCTAAGATTATTTATCTTATAATTCTATATAGATACATCTGATCTAAATCTTAATATTAATACAAATTGTTTATCAGCATCAAATAAAACAAATGATGCATTATGTTTTTTATGGGCTGGTACTCGTGCAAATTATGGATTTAAACAAGGAAAAATTTGTTATGAAATTCGAGTATATAAAAAATTTTATTTTAAAATGTAAATTTTGCAATTAATTAATTAATTTATATTAGATAATTGAAATTATTGAATGTTCACATATGCCAGATAATGAAAAAGAAAAATTTGGTATTCGTATTGGTTGGTCAAATTTATATTCTGGCCTTCATGCACTTCAATTAGGTAAAATTATTGACTTTCATTTTTGTACTAATAAAATGAATTTTTAGGTGAATTTAATGATTCATTTGCTTATACATATACTGGAAAGAAAATATGTAAATTAAATGATGAATTTTCGGAAGATAAATATGGTGAATCATTTGGTGTAAAAGATATTCTTGGATGTTATATTGATTTTGGAAATAATGATGATAATAATAATAAAATATATATATCATTTACAAAAAATGGTCAAGATTTAGGTCAAGCATTTGAATTAGATAAAACAAATTTTATAAATAATATTGATGAAAATCGATTGATTTTTTATCCACATATTTTAGTTAAAAATATTAAATTTGAATGTAATTTTGGACAATTAGTAAGTTAATAATTATTTCTCAATTTTGCTTTTTGAAAAGAAACAAAAAATATTAATAAATTATTATTATTTTTAGGAAACATCATGGTCAGAAATTAAAAATAATTATATATTTCCACAAAATATTCCTTTAAATGAACGAATTCATTGTTCAAAACCAATTCTAGAAAAAAATGATTGTCATGTTATTTTACTTTCGGGATTAATAGGTTCAGGTAAAACAACATGGGCAAATAAATATATTGAAGATAATCCAACAAAAAATTTTAATTTAATCAATGTTGAATATGTTCTTAGGAAAATGACGGTATGTTTCTATATTAAATATAATCAATTTCTATTAGATATTCTTAAGTCATACAAAAAATATTTCGATCCGATGAATGACACTGTCTACTTATTTTAATTTAACTTTTTTTGCAAATCGACTGAAAGTATTCGAAACTTTAGTAGAAATTCATAGAAGGAAAGTTTCCTAATCGAGAAGTTAATTATTGAAATGTTATATTTAAAGTGAAGCTAAAGAATTTTTTGTTGAAATACTAAATTATTAATATGATTGGATGTTTTTTAAAATTGTCATTTTTTTGTCTTGAAGTACTTTATACTTTAAAAATTTTGTCTTTTGGTTTGTTTTTTTAAAGATTGATGGTAAATTACCAATAATAAAAGATCGTAATGATGGTTTAATGTTACGTGTAAATATTTGTTTACAAAAATTAATTGAAATAGCTGCACAACGTCGACGAAATTATATTATTGATCATGTAAAAATTTGCTTTTTAATTTTTTTTGGATTTTAAATAATAATTCTTATTTATGTAGGTGAATATAAGTCGAGAAACTCAATCAAAACGTCAACGATTATTTACTGGTTATCATCGTATAGGTGTTGTTATTGTACCTAATGATGATGAGTTGAAAAGTCGTATTGAAAAAATTGAAAAAGCAGAAAATATTTCAATACCTTCACAATGGATTCGGGAAGCGAAAGGTATATGAATTGGTTTTTTTTTAAATAAAGCATCTCAATTGAATGTTTCTTTTTTAGCTAAATTTCATTTCTTACAAAAAGGTTCTTCATTAGAAGATGTTATCTATCCTGAATTATCTTATGAAGATGCTAAATCTTTGTATGATAAAATTCATCGAGATTATGATCAACATCGTTCATCTTCATCACGTTATGATCGACATGATGATCATCGTTCGTCACGTAATGATCGAAATCGTTATGATGATCGAGATCGTGGTAGTCGTGATCATGATCGATATGATCGTTACAATAGATCTCGTTCACGTGAACGTGGAAGTCGAGATCGTGATCGTGATCGACGAACATCCCGTGAAGATTCACGTTATTCTTCATCACGTCGGAATGATAATTATAGTGGTGGTGATGGTGGTCATAATAATAATAACTATCGTGGAGGTGGATATTCACGTGGTGGTAGTAGTAGTTATTCTGATCATCGACAAGATTCAAGAAACAATAATTCTAATCAACGTGGTAGTTTCCATGAAAGAGGCTATCATGGACGAGGAGGTAATAATCAATCGAATGATGGATGGCGTGGTGGATATCATCAGCAACAAAGAAATGATTTTGGCGGAGGTAATAGTGGACGTGGTCGCGGAGATTTTCGAACTGGAAATCAGTTTAATAATAATCGAGGATCATATCATGATAATCAACGTGGTGGTAGTAGTGGGTTTCGATCAGATTTTAATAATCAACAACGTGGTCGACAATTTAATGAATATGATAATAATTCTCAACGTCAAGGTAGTACGGGTGGATTTATACAAAATAATAATAATTTCAATCAACAACATGATCGACAAGGATTTGGATCTCGAGTAAATGTTATCTTTACATATTTATTGTAATGTTTCATTTTTATATTTTAATAATAGCCACCAATGCAACAGCAACAGCAGAATCTATTTCAAAATCAATCTCAACGTCCACAATCACTTCTTCAAAATCCACCATCTATTCAACAGCAACAATTTCCATCTCAAATTCCTCAACAAATAACAACAAATAATCCAAATTTATCTTTACAATCCCAAAATCCTTTAGCTATGAATCCGACTAGTGTAACACAACCAAGTTCACTTGATTCATGGTTTGCATTATATGCTGCTGCTGCACTTAATCCACAAGTCTCTCAACAACAAATTCAACCACAACAAGATACTAATTCAATAACTCAATGGACACAATGGTTAAAAACAGCACAAATGGTTCATTTTTTTAAAAATAATGTTTTTTTTTCCTGGAAAAAAAAGATTTTCTTTTATTTTTAGGGTCAAGCAGTTCAACAACAACAACCTCAAATAACTATTCAACAACCTGACACTCAACACCACCAACAACAACAAAATCAATTGCCTGATGCAGCTGCTTTGTATTATCAAGCATATTATGCTCAATTAGCAGTTGCTCAACAACAAGCAGCAGCAGCTGGTTCAACAAATGGTAGTATAGCACCACCTGGTAGTAGCGATAAATCACTTTCCTGAATTTTTTTTTTTCTTAATGTACATATATATTGTCATAAGAACAAGTGATCATTTATGAAATCTTAATTTTAAATTGAGATTATTTGAACATGTTGTTGTTTGTATGTATGTAATCATTATTATTATCAATTTTTTTTTTGTATTTGTTGTGTAAAAGAAAAGCAAAACAAAGAACTTTGATTATATGTCTATGAATTTATCTTTTTTTGTTATTTGTGTGTAGAGAAATAAAAAAAAGTAGAAGAGAGACATGTATTGAAGTTAAGGTTTCTTTTTTGCATTTAATATGTAAGATGAAATTTGTCATTCTTTTTTTTTTGCTTATGTAGATGTCCGTTATTGAGACAATTGATGCTTTCGATAAATTGGAATATAATGATATACGTTCTTTTGCCGCTGCTTCAGCTTTAATTGCAAAATCTATTCAAGAATATAATGATGATCCATTAGTAAAGATTAATAGACTTCAATTATTATATGAAAATGAGTATGTAGATATTTAGATTTGTTTAATTCTTTTTTTTTTTTGGTTGATTTTTCGTTTTATTATAGATCGTCAGAAATAACACTTCGACAGAAAGATATTGAACGTGAATGGCTTGAAAATAATAATGAAATAATGTAAGAATAGATTTACATTTGATACTCTAATTGTTAGTCTTATCTTATTTATTTTTCATTGGAATTTTTAAGAAGTCATATATTAGAAAGAGAGTAAAAGAAACAACTTGACTAGAAACGAAACTGAATTAGTTTAATAGGAACGGATATATCTAAAAGAATGCAAGAAAAGTTTAATTAAGCTTCAGATTGAAAATCAAAATGATAAAACTTTTCTTTAGACAAAACAGTTCTTATTAAAAAAATAATATTTAGAACCCTATGATACAGTGGTCAATATTGCATTTTTCTCGCTTCTGCTAGAAATCTTCATTATATAGTTGTTTTACATAGTCATCAATGAATACATCTATTCAATTTGTCACATACGAACAGTTCTTAATCACAAGATACATAAGTTTTTTATACCTGAATTTCTTACATTTTTCAATAGACCTTTTACAATAATATTGGAATCTTGTCTTGGTCAATCATTATCAGATCGTCCAAAAATCTCCGAGCAATCACTCTATTTACCATTTCGTTCTGATCAATCAATTGAATATGAACCAATACAATGGCAAACAGATCCATCATCAACATCACGTTTTGTTATACAACCATTATCACCTAGTCGAGTATTACGACCTCGTAATGAACCAAATACTGATCAAGAACTAATTAATAATAACACGAATGTAATTCTTCTCGATGATAATGATGATCAGAATTACGTCGATGCAAATGGTGACGAAGAAAATGAAGTACCAAAATTAGCGAAGAAAAAAGGTAAAAAGAAAAAACAACAAGTAAAAATGATCGAAAATAATAATGATACTTCAACACAATTAAATACTTCATCAAATCGAACATCAACAACAGGTCAAAAATTTCCAGTAATTAACCTATTTCAATCCTTTTTTTTTTGTTTTAATATTTATTATTTATTTTTTCATTAAGCAAAAATTATCATCAAAATGGTCAGCTGGTAAACGTATTTCAGGTTTTGGTACGGGTAAAACAAGTGCTATTCGTAAAGTAAATAAAATTATTCAATTAAAAATACGAAATTTAAATTGATTGATTAGTTTGCACGTCCATCAAACGATCGTCAACATCGTCCAGATTCTCGTACATTATTTCGTAATAAACCATCAGTTACAATTAATACATCTCGTCTAAGTCAAGAACAACGTGAACAATTAGCACGTGCTGTTGAAGAACGTAAACAAGAAGAACGTAAACGTAAAGTAGAAAAATGTAAGTAAAATTGAAATTTATTTTTCTTTTTTTGTTTATGAAATCTTCTTTTGTTCCTAAAAAGTACATGAACAAGCAAAAAAACGTGAAGAAGTTCTTAATCGTGCTAAACAAATTCAACAAGATAAAGATCAAAAAAATCAATTACGTATATCTGATAATCAATCAAAAACAAATGCTATTGTTAATAAAAAAGCACAAGGAAATAATTTTAATAATTCAACAACATTTAATAATTCAATGAATGAATCAACAAATCTTCCAAAAATAACTGTACAGCAACAACAACAACAACATAAACCTGTTATATTGGATACAACTAGTAATAAAATACTTGGTCAAAATAAAATATTTAAACAACCAACAAATTATGGATCAAAAAAAACAGCAAATGCTGAATATACCTTTGTTGTTGATAAAAATAATCCACAAAGAAATGATATTACATTACCATCAAGTTCATTAATTCAACCAAATGTACAACAGAAAGCGGATTGGACTATTTTACCAACACCTGCAAATGTTTATGATGAATTGGAACTTGATACAACAATGACGTTAGTTGAAAATTTCTTTTTTTTTAATTTGCTTCGCATACACGACACATATCGATATTATACGCTTTATGATTTTCCCAGGCATTGTCTTTACTATACGTTGTATTACTAAAAATACAAAAATATATTTTGAGACACTTTGTACGTACACATATTTATATACAAAAAGAAGAATTTTAATACTGTGATAGTTTATACGTTTTGGAGTCATAGTGAAGAATGGTTTATTTCTGTGAACTACGATTTTGACAGATTCTATAAGAATATGTTATATTCTGTAGAAAAACCAGTTTAAGAGATCTTTAAAACCTGTGTCGTGTGTTCGAATTTGTGAGCTAGTTTTTCTGTTGAAGATCGTTTGCATACTTTTATTGACACGAGCACCATTTCTAGTTTTCTTAAAAAAAGACAAATCAATTTTACTGTTCTATTTTTTTAATATTCTTTTGCTAGTGATACAACTCCCGATTCAGGTGATGGTGATTATGGTATTGAAGATGTACGTTCAGATCAAGATTCCGATAATGATGATGAAGATGAAACTCGTATACCTGGTTGGGCTAAAGGTTTGTTTCTGCTTGAAGAAGAATTAACATCTATTTTTTCATGTGATTATGTTTTTTAGAATGTTTATTCCAAACATTTTGGAAAACTCAAGGTCATTGGTATTTATCACGTCGAACTCTTAAATTAACACGCCGCACATTAGGACATTATCCTATAATAAAAGATCAACTTCAAACATGGCTTAAAGACCTTAAATCAAGCAAACCATTATCAGAAACATTTACCGATGCAACATATCTTGATCAAACACAAACACCACATTTTTTATAAATAAATTTCAGATCGATATAGATATATGTGTATGTGTGATTTTGTTTGTGTTCTCAGATATTGTCTACTTGAGTACGTCAGATAATATTATTTTCTCATATAGTCAACAAAAAACAATGTTAATACGTTCATGTATATATTGGACAGATATCAAGATAGCAAAGAATTGTTTATCTCTTGTAGTTTTTCTTTATGTATGTTTTCTTTCTTACTGTTATTGTATCTTTATTAGCATTAAATGTCTAGATTAAAATCAACACTGAATAAATATCTGTACATCATCATTGAAGAAAATAAGAATTCATATTCTATTGATTTAAAATAATTAGTAGAGATTATCTGTAATCATTGTCATTTATAGGTTTGATTTTGAATTATAAGAAAATTAACTAATCGATTTCATAAAGAATATACGTTGTATAAGTATTATATTGTTCATCCATTCAATTATTTTTAGTAAAAATCAGTATCGGTATGAACTCGATTGGATAATGAAAAGAAATTTTTTTATTACTAAAATATCAATATATTGCGAAGCAATAGTTCCTTAATAGTTGGTTTATCAGCGTGACAATTTAGTTTTAAAAAAAATTGGTACAATATAAGTCTTGTGAAACCTGAACGCTTACATATTTTTATAACATACATTAGTTGACAACATGCAAATACTTACTAACGTTAAACTGTTGTCATTCAAATCCACATATCTGTATATATACCTAAAGTTTAAATTTATAGATGCTCAACTTTTTAGCAACTACTGTTCTGAATAAATACCGCTCCCCTTTTTGAATCTAAGATGAAAACGTTGAATGGAAGCATCAAATAATCTGAATTTCGATATCATTTTGAAATATTGTGCTGCGCGAACTGTTTGTTGCATCTTAATGTAAGTTAAAGTATGTCGTAATCAGATGACACTTTTTCTTTTTACTTGCTGTTGTCAAAATCCGTGAGCCGAAATTCATGTAACCCAAACTGCGATGCAGGATTTTCTAGATGCTTTTTTGTTCGCTTGATTTTTCAATAATTTCTGCTGGTTTCTTGAAGCAGAACACATTCACATAGGTTCTCCAAGATACTCTATCAAATAGACTGGCCATGAATTATCCATAATAATTTATGTACAATTGTTTTTTGTAGCAGTTCTTTAGATGCTTTTCATATTGATCAGAAACTCCAGACGCTAAGTTTTTTCTAATGCTTTGCAGGTTTGACGCAAAAACGCAATAAGATGAAATTATGTTGTAAAAATCAGATTTGAGCAATGTTATTTGAACACAGTTGTTGAATGAAGAAAAATTGATGTCAAGCATTTCTTTGTATATTTTTGGACTGGCTAGAACTGTGTACGGCCGTCAACGGTTTGATCGATAGAACTGTGTACGTTCGAAGTGCGGTCGTGTAGCGGCACGTTATTTAGTATAGACTGGTAGTATCGCGCCGCAAACGGCACGGCCATGCATGACAGTAATATAGTGCATACTAAAAAACTAATTTACGCTTTGTGTAGGGTAATATTTTAGCCATTGTATGATTCATTCTCTATTCTCCTTATATAATTATTTTTTTATAGACTATAATAAAGATTAAATAAACAAGTCTACATAGTAAAAGGTTTCAATTTTTCTATTTCAATTCAAATAATAGCGAGATACCACTGGCGATTTTCTGATTTTGAGACAGGGGTGATCATCGTGACAAAACGTGTTTGAAACTCGATTTGAGGTTTTATCGGCTTATTTTTAGGCGTATCGTGCTGAGAAAAACCGAAAAATGCTTTGCACCGAAAGAGCGATCGCCCCTAGCACTATCTTTGAATCTGCCAATGCAAGATATGCTTTTCTTCATTCATTTGCTCAATTATCATTGATCACAGTTATGACATGTGTGACCGTGATTATGGTCGTGGCTTCTGGTCTACTTCGCAGTGTCTATCACCAGTTTATCGTTAATAGTTTTGATTATATTATATAAAGCATTTTCTGGCATGATATATAAAATGAGAGCATAAAAATCTGTAACTAATTCTCATGTTTACCTTAAACTTTTCTTTTTAGTTCTAGGTAGATGTATCAACTATTTTAAAACCCATTAAGAACAAAGCAGCTTTTTTTTGATGGTGACCTCCTTTAGTTTCAGTTAAAGATTTTCTCTCATACAAAACATGCGATTAGTCCACGGTAAGGGTAAGTGTAGCTTTCAAAGATTGAAAATATTTAAACATAAAAAAATTTCTGTTATAGATTCAGAGAGATATTGATCGATTTGATGACCTTTGACATCAATATATTAATGATATTCATGTGGAGAAAAGTGCAAATGTCGACTTCTGGTTCATCAATTGTTCCGCGCAAAATGAAGCTTTTTTTCCATGTCAAGTTAATGTTACTTCGAAAACTCCATAAACAGTTGTGTGGCTGGCTATAGGATTTTTATGTGGGTGTTCGACTGAAATGAAAGGTACGGGAACCATACTGTCTACAACCAGATTCCAACACTTGCACTCACACCCATGTCCTGCATCTATGCATATATTCACATCCACATCCGAAGAGTAGTTAATTAAATTTTAGAAGGTATATTAGCTTAAAACAGAAAAAACCCTTAAATGTGGCGGAATTGCCGTGCCACGTCGATTTCTATAATCTTTATATAAATATTTGGAAGGATAATGATGATGTAGTTTAAATCAAACAGTATAATGTGACAGTGACAAAACTTTTATTGATCTAGCCGTGAAAGAGCAACGTTTATTGCAAAAATAAACTAAATTATCAGCTTCTCGTAAAGAAAAAGACAGCAACGATAAATTTAAAATTATCAGTAGAAACAAGAACAAGAAAGGAACGATCATCCCGAACACCGTCGTCATTATCATTACCAACAACAATAAGAAACATGAAAACAATCGAAAAATAGTCATCAATTTAATGCGTAAGTCTTTATCCAGTCTTTATAGAGCTTTCTAGCAGACGACTTTTTCTATCTTTTACAAGATCGCCAACTCCATTAGTATTGAATATTTACTAGAGATTGTTCCACACATGCGTAAGCTTGAATACATCGGTTTAAATTAATCAGTATGCATTACGTATTTATGTTCTGGTGAAGATAAGTGAAAAAATCGATGACAACAACAAGAACAAATAATAACGGTAACATCATCAATAGTTTGTCCAGATCTATCCTTGTCGTCTGAAGAAGCCAAATCATGAATTATAGTCAAAAGACATACTACAGTTTCTATTCCGAAAAAAATTGATTGTAATGCTCGTCTAAATTATGTTACAATGGTTTTTATTGAGATATGGAAGAAGTTATCATTAAATTTGGGTGTGGTTGTTGGTATGAGTAGGTCTCAGTACGAGAGTCGAATATGATTGTGGGTGTGGGTATGGGGGAAGCTATGACTGTGAGAGTACTTGTAGATCTGTGCGATGATGCCAGATTCGTGTCGACTTCCATTAATAGCGCAATCCATACCAGCACCTGCAACTACATCCTACATTCATACGTACACAACTCGCACACAACTGCGTCACAACTGTAGCAAATGTATCCAAGTACTCACTCGCACTCATCACCACAAGCTCTACGACCTTTTGTTGAAATTATGGTTTTCTTTATCACCTTGGCTATTCATTTAAGAGAATATAGTCAAGGAAAACGTCATTACTGAAAACTCTTGGCCGAAGTTTCATTTATGAAACTGACCTTTCGAGTTTTGAAACCTTGGATTAATGAATATTCTTCCTCCATTACCTCGAATGCATAAATTAAATGGTACATGTTCACAGAGTTCACGACCATTTTCACCATAACCAAAGTACATGCAGTCACGAATATATTTCGTTTGATAAATAGCAATACCACCAAATGACGATTCAACTTCGATTAGATCATGTTCTTTTGGTATTGGCAATTGATGTATACCAATATACTTTTTGAACGCATCTTGGTATGAAACACCATGTTTGGTAGCATTTGTCATCATATGCCAGCAATCGTATAATATACCAGGATTGTGACGCAATGCCCAAATATCATAATATCTCTTCTAAATTGCGACTTTGTAAAGTACACTTGTGCAAAAGTTTAAGAAAAGTACTTCACAGTGTTATTTTGTTCAGAAAGATTTTCAGTGTTACGTACAATTAATGTATCATCCTCAAAATGTCGGTAGAAGTCTCATAGGCTGCTTAGTATTCAAGACTTTATTGCATGAATAAATAGTAGAATATATTATCGATAGCAACACATTTGTCAGTTACATATTCATGTAGTTTAGGTTCTAGTATTTTCTTAGATGAAATAGTGGCGTATCTAGAACAGTGGCGACTCGCTGTGGATGAGGAGGCAGTGGAAGGTTGCGCTACTCTTTTTTGCTTTTAGCTTTTTAACTGAATGTTATGAAGACCTGACATTTTTATCATATATACTGCATGTTAGGGCCAGATTATGATAAAAATTTCAGATCTTCATAACATTCAGTTAGAAAGTTAAAAGCAAAAAGACAGCGACGCCACCTTCCACTGCCCCCTCACCGTCAGCGAGTCGCCACTGTTCTCGATGCGCCACTACTTGAAAGAAGAGAAGAGGTTAATAATGAACATTGAATTGATCGTCAAGTCTGTGAGATTTTACCTAACAGTATTGAACTAGTACGGTAGAACGGCACCACAATTCACATTAAATTTATGATGATACTATGACTGAGATTTGTCTCTCTTGCAATACAGTTGGTCTATTTATTTACGGCTCTTTAAACGTAAGAAAGTTCTGATTGGATTAAATCACTCGTCAAATGAATGGTGACTAAAAATATGAATATGATAGAATTTTTCATGAAAATTCAGCCACATTTTTTAATGAATCATATTGTTTATGCAATATTATGAGAGACAGCCAGACTGAGCTTTACTATCAAAAGACTCGTCACAGATAGCATAGTGCTAGCTGAATTAATGGATACTACTGGCTAAGCACTATTGTTTCCTAAGAAAGGTTTGAACTGTTAACTTAATATTGACTATTTTTTAAATCGAATATTTATGTTTCTGTACATTGTTCAGAGGAAGACTTGACTGTAAACAGTAACTTTTCTATCGCAATTTGGCAGAAGTCTTTTCTCAACTAAATATGCTAACAAATAAAGATATGAAATTCGAAAGGTAGAGCACTGTTTGAAAGTCATCGTTGACTCGTAGTCATCGAATTTCATTATTGATTTAATAGGAGAGGACCTCAACATAATCTAAAATCCGCCATATTTACTAA